AAGGCAACTTATGTATCATGATCATAATTTGTATTGATTATTTGTTTCTAGACATGGTATATAAGTGATATGTGTCCATATCTTATATAGAGAGAGTCACATAGATTATAGCTAACTCCCACTGTTTTGAGGAGTGCGGCAGTGCCGCGCCTGCCGTGCGGCAGTGCCGAGCTAGGCATGCGGCAGTGCCGCACTTTGAATCTCAATTGAGATTCGGCCTAAATGGTTTTACTATGAGGCCCATTTATTCTTTCTCTTATCCTTAGGTCCGCAGTAACTTCTTTCCCTCTCTCTTATCCTCGACGCCAACGTCGACGCACGCGCCTCTCTCTCCTCTCACGCCCGTGCCGTCGCCGTCGCTTGGCCGCGTGTTGCCGATCTCTAGCAGTGACGTGGCAGCTGCCAGCCCTCCCTCAATATCGCTGATGGCTGCTACTACCCCTAGCCCGAGTAGTTTCTTCCCTCTCCTCTCCATTCCTCGTTTAAGAAGATAGAGCATGAAGATTATGACCGAAAGAGGAAAAGGAAGATGAACGAGCAAAGAGACAAGGATCCACCTCGCCGTGGTTGAGGGAGGTCAACAGCAGCAGGCAGTAGTGCAGCTCCAAGGTTACTTGGTGATAGGGGGAGGCGCGTGCAATACATTAAAGGTGATGACAGGTTGTACCACTGATGTCATTTCTGACACCCCACAACATCTCTCTGAGTTTGATGGTAGATACATGAGAGATTTTGAGGGTGAGATCATCATGAGACCTCCAGATGACTCCCGCCAGCATGCAGTTGTCAACTATTCCAAAAGTTGGAAGCTGGTGGAAGAGGCAAGGAGGATCAATCCCTATGCAGTGCGCAAGGATTTGAGCATTGATTACAGATTCTGGAATGAGTTTCATTCCAACTTTTATGCCACTGCCATTCTTGCATCCAAGAAAACCAAGATCATCAAGATGTAGTATATTGATTGGGATGAGATGCAGGAGAAGGAGGAGCCTGAGTTTGACAAGGTGATCAAGATTTGTGACAGGTTCCAGCTTTCAAACATCATGGGTTTCCAGTATAACTGGAATGAGGAGGTCCTTGCATAGTTTCATGCCACATACTTCTATGACCAGACCTCTGATGAGACTCACTGGATGACTGATGGTTGGCACTATCGAGTCGATTTTATCACTTTCAGTCAGATTCTTGGCTTTGGGGAGGAGCACAGAGGTTACACTTACATTCATGATGAGCCTCGAGCTAAGATCCACGACATCAGTTACATGTGGAGAGATAGAAGGATTGCAGATGGCAATAGGAATGGTCTACACAACTTCTATTACATCCTCAACAACTTCATCAGGAACACCATCAACCCAAAGGATGGAGCAGCCTCAGATATTAATGGCTATGTGAGAAATGTGTAGGCTAGATTTGCTCCAGGTGGGGACAGGTTCAATGTCCCTAGATTCATGTGGATTGAGTTGAGATTTGCAGTGGAGGATGGGAGGAGGGGGCTGCCCTATGCCCCTTACCTCATGTTCATGATTGAGAGGGTCACTCGATTTTATTTTTCGAAGGATGGGATGCACACCGTCTACAAAATTGAGAAGACCCTGCCAGCTGCAGCTACTCAGGGAGTGGGGAGCTCTCATGCTCATGTAGATATCTCTAAGTCTTCCTGCTCTATGTCTCGCAGAGGAGTCAAGATGAAGAAGTTTGACAAGTGGTTGAAGGCAATCTTCGGCAAGTGCACCTATGCAGCTGATAGAGCATATGAGACACATCTTGAGCAGCATCAGCAGCGTGGATAGGACCTTCCACCACTTCCTCCTATTCCACCTCCTCCACAGTATGACCTTCCAAGTCTCTTCGACATAGATTCAGATGATGAGTATAATGATGATGATGAGGAGCAGCAGGGACGAGCAGCAGATTGGGATGAGACCCTGGAGGGATACCATCAGAGACAGGAGCTGAGACGTTCCACTCGTTCTAGTCGCTACACCGCCACTACTCACCGTCAGGGCCATACACGTATTGACTCCGATGACGATGATGGTGATGGTGGTGCCGGGACTACTACAGGAGGTGATGATATTGATTGGACGAACATCTAGAGAGATGACGAGTAGGTGTTGATCTTTCTTCTTTTCTTCTCTTTTTGGTGCTTTATGCCAAAGGGGGAGAAAATTAGAGGGGTCAACAACAAATTTTCGACGCCATGGTCAGCAGCTGCGCTTCATGTCCTATTCGATGAGTGTTAGTCTTCGCTAAGTGGAAAGTTTGAGAGTCGCTTAAAACTCTAAATTGTGAAATAATGCTACTATTTGACTTTTTATGTGGGATATAGACATATATTAATCTATGTTGTCGCTTGTAATACAATTGTGCTAGAATGTATATCTTTATATGTATCACATGCTGTGTGGTGTCTGTTCTGATCTATGCTGTTACAGCAAGTGCGGCTGTGCCGCACCCAGCTGCAACAGCAAACTATGTTGTGCATAAACTGCCATTTTCATCACGTTTTACATACCTAACACAGTATGCAGCACCCCACATGAGCAAGGATGTAGGGGGAGCCCCATCACTTTCACTAAAATGTGAATCTTGGCTTCTTATGCCAATTTGAGAATTCAATTCTCTATTCACATACTTAGGAGGAGGCTCTACACCCATGGCTCGAAAGTCTCAGTATTTATTTCATATCTTTTGTAAGCTCTAATTGGGCTGTCATCAATCACCAAAAAGGGGGAGATTGAAAGTGCAATCAAGCCTTAATTGTGGGTTTTGGTGATAATGACCACGCAATTAGAGAACTAATGAGATTTATCGAGATGACAAGCAGGGAATTTATATTCAAGGATGCTACACCAAACGGAGGAGCCCCCAATTACAAATATAGATGGGTTCAAACTCAAAAGAGGTTTAAGATTCTTTTATATCTTGAATTTGAGTATAAGAAAAGTCATACTATAAAGAAGGACATAATGCTTAAGCTAATATGTGCTACCAAGTGCTCTAACAACCACAAGCATCCTCAGATTCACAGCCAAGATAGTCTACACTTCACTTTTACCCTTACTGTCTTGCGTGGTGTGAGCTCCGACTCGCCCGACCCCTTGGGTGCGAGCTCCGGTTCGCCTGACCCTTTGGTCGCGACCTCGTCTCACCCGACCCCAAGGTCACGGGCTCTGGCTCGCCCGACCCTTTGGTCGCGGGCTCCGTCTCGCCCGACCCCAAGGTCATGGGCTCTGGCTTGTCCGACCCTTTGGTAGCAGCCTCATCTCGCCTGACCTCTTGGGTGCAGTGTCCATTGTGGGCTGGTGGTATATATACCTTTTCCTTTCCTCACCAACGGCTATCTACGCTTTAAAGTGACCGTTGGGGGCTGGGGTATATATATACCTTTCTCCTTCCTTCTCAACGGTAAGGAACCAACCTTCTCTCTTCTTCCTCACTTCAGCATGCCCAAAACAGAGCAGGAGCTCTCTCTCTCACTCCATTATTGACCTAAAACCCCCAAGCAAATACATTGATTTCCCCATCAATCCTTGAGGAAAAAATGGTCCATAACTTGATTAGAGAGCAACTCCATTGATTTCTAAACTCTAAAGAGCACTTGGTTCACGTCTTAGCCGGTGGTTGTATTTGTTACTCCTGGAGCTTGGCTCCTAGCCGGCTAGAGCGTCGTCCGTGGAGCTTGCCAAATTGTGTGGCAGCCCCGGGAGGTTTATAACCACCTCTTGCAGCAAGTAAAATCACCCCTCATCTCAAGAGTTCACTCTCTTGACTTGAGAACGAGGTAGGATTGTAAATCCCTAAGCCTTAGTGGTTTACCTCAACAACGTGGACTTAGGCAAGCCTTGGTGGCGAGCTGAACTATGGGATAAATCCTTCTGTCATCTTGTGCTTGTGTTGCTACACTTGTGTTCTTGTTGTTGTTGAGGTGATTTCTAGGATTGAGGCTGATCTACTTGTGTGTGGTGTTCCCACCACTTTCAGCTGTCGATCTGTGATCTACCACCCTGCAGGAAGCTAAGAAATTTACCCTATCTAAATTTCGTTGGGTAGATTTTGAACTGTGAACTAATCTCTCCTACAGGTGCGGCAGTGCCGTGCTCACAGAGCGGCAGTGCCGCGGGTGAATTTGATTTCGGTTTAAGTTGAATTTTTACAGGCCTATTCACCCCCCTCTTGGTGTACCAGAGATTCTTCACCACCGGATCATACGATGCACCATAGAGACTTGGTCAATAGATCACTAAGTCTAACTTGGCCCACTAGATTATCCCCTGAGGTCACTAAGTTAAACTTGTTTTGCTATATATAGTTACTTTGGTATTTTCTTCTTATATTTTTGTTATGTTGTTGGTTTGTTTAAAGCTTCTAAAACTTGTTTCTTGAAATTTATACATTTATTTGAGATCCTTGTATCCTAATTTGTCTCTAAGATTCTTTTGGAATCTTTTTAGTCTATTGTATATTTACCATAGGCTATCTAGAGTTAACTAGACTATTATTCAACTAAAAGTTCTATTCAAAATTTAAGAAAACCATGAACATGGTAATGGAGCAACATGGATTCCGAACCGCCCCTTGCCACCAAGGGAACTAGGGAACAGTTTGGACCTACCAGAAAATATAGGCCGGGTTTAAGACCCCGAATTTGCACTTAGGAGTTTTTGATCTAAATGAGAATGCAGAACACAAGTTGTTGTGTAGCTAGCTGAAGGAAGTGAAGAGTAAAAACAAGTTGGTAGGCTGCTACTATTTCTTTGGGAGAGTTTACAATTTGATATATCGTGCAAAGTGCAAACACACAAGGCATTTGCACTAACAGCTTCTTGTAAAAAATCATCATTGCTTTTATTGAACAATTTCGAATATCTACATAAAAATCTTAGACGTCACTAAAATTCTATAATGGTTGAGACTGTTAATTTCATAATATGATCATGTCTTAGGATTTATTTGCTGCGGGAAGTGACACAAGCTCTAGCACAGTGGAATGGGCAATGACGGAGTTGCTTCAAAATCCAGTGTCAATGTCTAAAGTTTGCAATGAGCTTGCAGGAATTATTGACTCAGGAAGAAATATTGAAGAATCACAAATTGGCCAGTTGCCGTATCTTCAAGCTGTGATTAAAGAAAGTTTTCGACTCCATCCTCCTGCTCCATTTTTGTTACCACGTCAAGCTGAGACGGCAACAAAAGTAACAGGTTACACAATACCTAAAGATGCTCGTGTACTGATAAATATATGGGGAATGGGTCGAGATGCAAATATATGGTCTGAACCAGAGAAGTTCGTGCCCGAAAGATTTTTGGCAAAGACGGTCGATTTCAATGGTGGAGACTTTGGCCTCATCCCGTTTGGTGCAGGACGTCGGATTTGCCCTGGCATGCCATTGGCTATTAGGATGGTGCATCTGGTGCTTGGATCACTGTTAAATCATTTCAAATGGAAGCTTCCAGCTGATGTTGAAAGAAATGGAGTTGACATGGCAGAAAAATTTGGGGTGACACTAATCAAGGCTGTGCCGCTCTGCGCTATAGCTACACAAATTTGAGTTAACCAATAGGTCGGCACGAGTGTATTTCAATCTCTTTTTTTTTTTGGCGAATAACTGTATTTTGTACCTTTTTATTGTGCAATAATGTATTAAGCACATCAAACAATAATGAGACGCACCAACCATCAGCTGCATGTATTAATCCTGAACATAAACAGGGTTTATCAAATACATTGTTTTAACTATGTATTTAGACATATTTGTATACGTAAGAGCATAGCAAAAGCTACATATATCTAGAAAATTCAAAACGTCTTGTAATTTAGAATGAAGAGAGTAACATTTATGATAAAAAAATAAGTATCATTACATTGATTATAAAGTCCATTTTTTTATAAAAAAATTAAATATACAAATATTAATATATTTTTTCTACAAACTCGGACAAACTTAAAAATATTTGACTTATTCAAAATCTGGGATTGTCTTTTTTTTTGGGGGAGAGGAAGTACATATAATGTATAGGTCGAGGTCAAGGACATTTAAATCAATGGTAAATTTTATGAGGTTTTCTTTCAATTGTTTTTTCTATTCCTATATCATCAACGTGGCATGTACGATGCCTAGTATACAGTATACTAGAGTTTCTACTTGCTACGACAGTTCTATTCTATAAATAAATAAATTTATTCCTGGAGCCGCCGTTGCAATTCAACGAAGTGGTCACTGGTCAAAGGCGGTGTCTAAACCGCCATGTTTGGTACAGTACTACTTTGGTATTGGCACTATACTCCCTCCGCCCTGTAATACAGTGCATTCTAGCATTTAAAATTTGTCTTTAAATATAATGCATTATAAGGATAAAAACTAATTTTACATTAAATACTTTTCATTTATTAACCAATTACTATTAATCACGTTGATGATAGTGTAGGATTAGAAAATAAAATGATGGTACATGTGTCTTTTATGTTCTCTCTTAATTTGTCTTAAATTTTTTAAAATATATTGTATTACACAGCAGAGGGAGTAGCAGCCAAAAGGTACGCATATCCCACAGGGGCGGCGATCGAGTCAAATAAACATAACACACGGCACCACACCACTTCCTTGCATCACCCGTGCGCCCCATGCCAAATTGCCAACAAATTCAGTATTCAACTTGTCAACGTGGTGGGTATGCAGGTGCAGTGATGCACCCACCCGCTCCTTATATAATATATATAAGACGAAACAAGCATCAGCCCCATCTCATCTTGTTGTCATCTATTCATCTCGTTGGATACGAATACGACCCATAGCAGAGCTTAGCAATTATGGTTATGGGCGGTGCGCTGTTCCCATGGCTGGCATGGTTGCTCCTCTCCCTCGTCGGCATCTACCTCCTCGGCCATCTCGTGCACGGCCGTCGTCGCCGTGGTCTACCGCCAGGACCCCACCCACTGCCCGTCATCGGCAGCCTCCACCTCCTCGGTAACCAGCCGCACCGCTCCCTCGCCAGGCTCGCCAAGGTCCACGGCCCGCTCATGTCCCTCCGCCTGGGCGCGGTGACCACGGTGGTGGCCTCCTCTCCGGCCGCCGCTCGGGAGATCCTGCAGCGGCACGACGCCGTCTTCAGCAACAGGTCCGTGCCGGACGCGCCCGGCGCGCACGCCAAGAACTCGTCGGTCTGGCTGCCCAACGCGCCGCGCTGGCGCGCGCTGCGGAAGATCATGGGCGCCGAGCTGTTCGCGCCGCACAGGCTGGACGCGCTCCAGCACCTCCGGCGCGACAAGGTGCAGGAGCTCGTGGACCACGTCGGGCGGCTGGCGTGCAAGGGGGAGGCCGTGATTGTCGGCCGCGTCGCGTTCACCACCAGCCTGAACCTCGTCGCGCGCACCATCTTCTCCCGCGACCTCACCAGCCTCGACGACGACGGCGGGTCCAGGGAGTTCCAGGAGGTGGTGACGGACATCATGGAGGCCGTGGGCAGCCCCAACGTGTCCGACTTCTTCCCGGCGCTCGCGCCCGCCGACCTGCAGGGCTGGCGCCGGCGGTTGGCAGGGCTGTTCGCGCGGCTGCACCGGATCTTCGATGAGGAGATCGACGGGAGGCTGCGTGGCCGCGAGGCTGGCGAGCCCAAGAAGAACGACTTCCTCGACCTGCTGCTGGACGCCGCCGAGGACGACGACAACACGGCGGGGTTGGATCGCGACACACTCCGTTCACTCTTCACGGTAAGCCGCAGAGACTTCTCCACTACTGTATATTCACTAAGATTCTCGAGAGGCGTGACCTGTTGTCAAATCAAAGAAAAAAAAGTCTTTCTTCTCCTAACATAAATACTGTACACAATTTTATGTCTGGTTACAATCAAACAAATTTGAATTTGACTAAGTCTTAATAAACATACTATAAAAATATATTTCATGATAAATCTAAAGATATTTTTTATAAAAATTGGTCAAACTTTAAATCATTTAACTTAGCACTATCTTATTTTTTTGTTTTTAGATACACAAAAATAACGGAGTTACACATGCAAAAAATAAATCTAGTTTTATCTTTAACCAACAAACCAAAGTGTGTGCCTGTTTGGCCAACCGTGTTTTCTGAATCTCGGTCGTCTAAACTCCAAGTATACTCTTTTCGTTCTAAAGTATAAAACGTTTTTGACATTTATGAATACATATTATTTATTATATATAGATATAAAAGTATGATTAGGTGCGTAGCAACAAGTTATAAGTCTATTAAAATCAAAACGTCGATGGAAGAATTTTGAAACTTGCTGCATTGAACGAAGGAGTATAGGGATGTTTTCAAACAGCTCTATCGTGACACAAAACGTATGATATTTTGATTTTGGTCAAGTTCTCGGAAGAAGCTGGTCTGTCGGTCCATGTTCGATCGAGTTGAATAGGGATGCCCGCTTCCGTTCCAATCCATATCCAGCTGGCGAGTGGGGACGAACCGACGAAGTACATGTGAGGGACATTATGGATTGGAAAACAGTCTCTGTAGTTTGTCTTTTTCTTCTACGCAAATTTTTTTTTTATTCTCAGTCCCAGCCGCGCCGCTATATTATACCTTATCGATAAATGAGGCATACCCAAAAATAAAAATGAATGAACGTTTGACGTCCCACCATCCTGCCTTACCTTTCATTACTCCATATAATATGTTATCTTATCTTAAGGACTAAATCTAAAGGTATTGTTTTAAGAATTAATATCTTTGTAAAAAAAATGCAATTTTTCATCATTTTAAAAATAAGTCTAGATAACTACTAGTATATAAATTTAGATTTTTGCTTTTATCATTTAGTACTGATTAAATTTTTTTGGGTCGTTCCAATCTGAATGTTATTACAAACACCAACCTTCATTCCTTCCTACTTTTCTAATTATTAGTACGTTTTCTAATAACTGTTCAAATTGTGACTATTGCATTTCTTAATAGTTCACAGAACCAACTATTTCCCTTTAAATAGTTCCTCAATATTTCTTAATTATTATACTCATGCAAGTCCATTATCTATTGCACCGATTGGTCAAAAACACATGACGTTTTGGATGTGACATGGTGTCCAATGTATATTTAGTGCCACTATTCTCTTTTGTAATATATATAAACAACATTATAAAATCTTATTAAGACAAATATACACATTTCCAAATAAAAAAAACTTGATCCGCGATGGCTAGACAGCCTTCGGGTATTCCAGCTTAAGAAGAGATCTTCTCACGCGGATCAAGAAAACCCCTGAACCCATGTCCCGCCCTTACACAGCGGCACCGTAGCTCCATGAGATGAACCGGCCATTGACCTGTGCTTTGGGAGTAGGACAGACGAGAGAGTCCCCCCTCCCCCGGCCAGCCGACCGTTCCCACACATTTCCAAATATATATCTATATAACAAAATCAAATATGTTCAATTTTTGTAGTATATCAAGCATGCATATATTATAACATAATAGAATGTCAAAAAACCACACATTTCTTGTAGTGCAATTTGAACCTATATATAATGTTTCAGCTGTAAGGCTGTACAGAACAATGGGTTTAAGAATTTCATAGAAATGTATGGCCCTCTTGTTTAGTGTATAAAAAATATCCATTCTTGTGCCATTAACATCCCTAGTTCGTTAAAGAAAAAAATAACATCTTGTTTATGTTTTAGGATTTGTTTTCTGCTGGGAGTGACACAAGCTCCAGCACAGTGGAATGGGCAATGACGGAGTTGCTTCGAAGCCCAACTTCAATGGCTAAGGTCTGCGATGAGCTTGCTACCGTCATTGGCCCAAGAAAAAGCATCCAAGAATCTGATATTGGCCGGTTGCCCTACCTTCAAGCCGTGGTAAAAGAAACTTTCAGACTACATCCTCCTGCTCCACTGTTGCTACCACGGCGTGCTCAGGCCGACGTAAAAATCATGGGGTACACGATCCCAGAAGGCTCTCGTGTGTTCGTAAATGTGTGGGCAATGGGTCGAGACGAAGAGACGTGGCCTGAACCTGAGAAGTTTCTGCCCGAGAGGTTTCTGGGGAAGACGGTCGATCTTAGAGGCGGGGACTTTGATCTCATCCCGTTCGGCGGAGGACGGCGGATCTGCCCTGGAATGCCGTTGGCGATCAGGATGGTGCATCTGCTTCTTGCGTCGCTGTTGAATCAGTTTACATGGAGGCTTCCAGTTGAGGTTGGGAGAAATGGAGTTGACATGGCTGAGAATTTTGGCGTGACATTGACCAAGGCTGTGCCTCTTTGTGCCATAGCTACTAGAATTTGATGAGTCAGAAAGCCATTCTCTGTTGGAAACAACTGTTTTATGGTTATTGGTTCCTCTGTTGGTCGATGTATCAATATATGTTGGATTTTGGTTTTTGTTTTCTTCTGTGTGCTGATAATGGCTGGTATAGCTTTGGTAGCCTTTGTGAATATGTAATCTTCTGGTTAGCTCTCTGCTAACCTTCTTTTTTTGAAGAATAAAGCTCTCTGCTAACCTTTGGTGTAACTTTGTCTCCTTTTTTTTTATTAATTAACAATAGCGCTGGGGAGCAGAGCTCCACGGTTTCTCTGCTAACGTTCACTATTTCTTCTACACAAAAAAAGAAGAAAAAAGAAACAGACTCTGTCATGTTGGTTCGTTCAAAGAAACATTAAGGCCCACCATACCCTGCTGTGCATCTGGGCCGCGCACGTTTCTCTTTGTGGGCTAGTAGACGCGGACATCTAAAGCCCCGTTTGGCAGAGCTTCACTTCACTAGTGAAGCTATTTTTTTTTGCTTCAGCTCCACGAACAGCTCCACAAGTGGAGCTGAAGCGGTTTTGGTAAACCATTTAATAAAATGGCTTTCCTGTGAGAGCATGTTTTTAGGGGCCTGGAGGAGGAGCCAGGAGAAGCCATTTTTTTTTGTTCCATCCCACTCAAAATCACTGTGAGAGCATGTTTTTAGGGGCTTCACCAGTGAAGCTATTTCACTTTACCCTGTTTGGCAGAAAACGGCTCCAAACGGCTCCCGAAGCCGGTGGAGAAGCCCTGCCAAACGGGGCCTAATTTTCCAGAGATGCTAGCATCCGAACCCGGACCGTACGTCCACGTGTGCTAGCCCATTTTCCTGCACCAAGTTTCTCGCACTGGCTCGCGTGCCAGCGTAGGGCCTGGTCGCCCTAATGTCTCCTGCTCCGCCAGACCGCAGGTGAGGACCGTCTGGTCGCTCGGCGGCACCCCAGCAGCCAATGACGGAGCCAGGATTTTTTTTAGCTAGGGCGAACTTTATACACTTACTGCGCGGGGCTGCAGGGGGCGGCGAGCTGGCGACGCCGACGAGCAGGGGCAGCGGGCAAGTGGCGGCTCCAGCCCCAATGACGGGTAGACCCTCACCCTCCTCGTGGACCTCCTCCACTCCTCCCTCCATCACCGGCTCCTGCTCCTCGGCAAGCGCACCTCAGACGTCTGAGCGGCTGGGTTGGGCTAGGCACCTGGCTGTGGCCGGCGGCCGGATGGGCGTCGCTGCGCGGGGCGGTGGCTGGCCGGCGGCCGCTAGCGCCTAGCGGCGGCCTGTGGGATAGCGTGGCAGGCGGTGGCTAGCGCAGCCGCCCAGTGGCGACGTGTGGTGGCTACCGGTGGGCGGGCGAGCGGCGGCAACCTGGAGCGCTCGATGGGGATTGGGGAATTGCGGTGCGGATGCTCGATGCGGACTGCGGACAGGGAGAGAGGCGTGCGGCCCTCGATTGGGGAATTGGAGTGCCATACTGGGCCCTTACTGGGCTAATCAAACTGACCAAACAAAGGCCCATTGTCTTAGCAGCTCAACAGGAGTCTTCTTCGTCCTATCGTTGCCTCGTTCATCGGCTCGTCGCCATGGCGCAGCGCCACAGCTTGCTCGGCAGCTCGCGTCCTCGGCAGTCGGTAGCCGGAGATAGGGAAGAAGAGGGGGTCCGGGGGTCCGAAGCTACGCCGCCGGTAGCTGGGGCGGCCGCCCCACCCCGCCCCTAGGACAGCTCCGCCAGTGCCAGCAGTTGCACCAGACGGTTGTGGCAAGTGGGTCCGATTCAACATGTGCAACATCCGATCTACTATTACAACATTTAGATAAAACTATTGCAACATACGTCCGCGAAATAGTTGAAACACTTACAACATACGTCTGAAACACTTGTAAAACACCAGAAAAACTTAAAAACACGTGTGTAGCTATTGCAAACATTGCAAAATCCGGATGAAAACATTTGCAATATGAAAACACTTGAAACACTTGCATGTATATGCAACATCCAGATCTACTTTTGCAACATCCAGATGAAACGCTTGCAACATACGTCTGAAATAGATGAAACATTTGAAATATACATTTGAAACATACATGTATAGCCATTGCAATATGTGCAACGTCTCGATTTACTTTTGTAACATCGATATAAAACACTTGCAACGTATCTCTGAAATATCTGAAACACTTGAAACATACACTTATAACATGCGCGTTCAGCGTAATGTCACCTTCACTAGTAGAGAACAGACCTTTGATCCTCGGTCAAAATGGGCTCTAGTCCCGACATTTTTTGCGCCCGGGACTAGAGATACCTTTAGTCCCGGTTGGTGGCTCCAACCGGGACTAAAGGTCCCTGCCCAACGGCTACTGCGCCAGGCAGAGGTGGCAGGGACCTTTAGTCCCGGTTGGAGCCACCAACAGAGACTAAAGGTATACTTTTATTCCCGGTTGGTGGCTCCAACCGGAAGTAAAGGTCTACCCCCGGGCCGTGGCTACGCCCGGGGTTGGAAAGTTACCTTTAGTCCCGGTTGGAGCCACGAACCGGGACTAAAGGTCCCCCCTTTATATCCCGGCCGTCTCCTTCTTCCTCCCCGAACCCGAGCTCAGCACATTTTGAAGCTCACTGCACTAGTGTTCTTGCTTCCTCCCTCCCTTCATTGTTCCTCCATTCATTCTTCGATTCCTCCGTCGATTTCTTCGATTCCTCCGTCGATTCTTCAGTTGTAAAGGTTACCAATCTCATACTCTCATTTTTCACAATTGTCTTATCTCATTTTGTTCACTATATATATATATCGTTCTTTATTGTGGTTTTTTTTATTTGTAAGCAATTTGAGCTCAAAATCACTTCAAGCTTGCATATTTACATGAAAGAAGGTTAAAGTAGCTAGTTGAACTTGCGGACCGTGTTCATCTCGGCGAGCATGTTCTCTGCCGAGCGGTAACGGACATCAAGGAGGAGCTTTGATTCTATGAGGGAGAGCGGCAACGGTCGTGGAAGACCGTGTTCCCTTCCTCGTAGAATCGGAGCTCTTCCTTGACCAAGTACGGTGCCGTCCGGTGCAGAAATGCTCGCCGAGATGATCACGTAAGCAAGGTCAACTAGTACGGATGGTTATTTATTAAAACATGTTTTTGAGATATAGATAATTTTATAGTTTCTTAATTTTATTTATTTATAAAATGAGAAATTTATAGTGTATTAAAAATGAATATAGAGAGTAGATGGCAACTGCTTTCGGGTCCTCGGCCTCTCATGGGTTTCCAAAGCGACTTAGGCCGGGCCTCCTTCTCATTCCATGCGGCAAGTGTCATGATGAGACGAAGATTGTGATGGAGTACCGAGTGAAGAAGGAGGGTCCCAACAAGGATCGTATCTTCTACAAGTGTCCGGATCGCAATGTGAGTTATTTTATCGTATTTAATGATTATGGTTAGTTTATACCTATTTTCATGATGGTTGTGATTAAAGTTCTAATTTTTTGTTTTAATTTCAGTGGGATGGCAGTGGACGATGTTCAGGCTTCTACTGGGAGGAAGAGTATGTTGAACTCATGCAAAAATATCTTGCACAACAGGCAGATACGGCGCTAATGAGGCAGTGATCCAGCCGAAGAAGCCCAAAGATGTTGCACAATCGTTGGATCTGTCTGTTTTAGTTGAGATTGGTCGCGAAATCCTTGTGCTCCTAAAATATATTTTACCTTTAGTTCTTTTAGTGGTAGTTGGGATTGTCTACATTGTAGCGATGCTTTCATAAATTTGTACCTTTTATGGTGGCACACATGTTGTATAAATAATTAATTATGATCTAGGTTTTAATATGGTATTTATGTCATGTAATGCAGATGAGCCGGCATTGGATGTACAATGCTGATCGCCGCTCCCAAGAGTTCATTGACGGCGTGCATTCTTTTTGTTACGTCTTGGCCGAGGCAAACAAACGCTGACGGTTTCATGTGCTGTCCATGTGCCATATGTAAGAATACGGTGGAATATCCTTGCTCAAGGACTCTTCATTCACACTTGTTCAAGTCGGGTTTCATGCCAAACTATATTTGTTGGACGAAGCACGGAGAAACCGGCGTTGTAATGGAAGAAGGTGAAGAAGAACAATGGGACGACAATGATATTATTCCCAATGGTGCGTGCTTCAATGATACTGCAATGGGAGAAGCTGAAGAAGAGGTAGCCACAGAAGATGAGCCTGCTGATGATCTTTGTCAGGTCATTCATGACGCACAAAGAGAATGTGAAAGTGAAAAGGAGAAGATCAAGTTCGAGCGGATGCTAGAAGATCACAACAAATTGTTGTACCCAACTTGTGATGCAGGGCAGAAAAAGTTGGGAACCACACTAGAATTGCTGCAATGGAAGGCAAAGAATGGTGTATCTGATAAGGGGTTTGGAGAGTTACTAAAAATCTAAAAGAAGATGCTTCCGAAGGACAATGAATTGTCTGCCACTACCTACGAAGCAAAACAAGTTGTCTGTCCTATGGGGCTAGAAATCGAGAAGATACATGCATGTCCTAATGACTGCATCATGTACCATGGCAAAGAGTACGAGAAATTAGATGCATGCCCGGTATGCCATGCATCGCGGTATAGGATCAGGCGAGATGACCCTGGTGATGTTGAGGGCGAACGTCCGCGGAAGAAAATCCCTGCCAAGGTTGTGGTATGCTCCTATAATACCACGCTTGAAACGTCTGTTCAGAAACAAAGAACATGCAAAATTGTTGCGATGGCACAAAGAAGACTGTAAGGTAGACAATATGTTGAGACACCCTGCTGATGGGTCCCAGTGGAGAGCAATTGACAGAGAATCCCCGGAGTTTGCAAATGACGCAAGAAACTTAAGGTTTGCTTTAAGTACAGATGGTATCAATCCTTTTGGAGAGCAGAACAGTAGTCATAGCACTTGGCCTGTTACTCTAAGTATCTACAACATTCCTCCTTGGTTATGCATGAAGCGGAAGTTCATTATGATGCCTGTGCTCATCCAAGGCCCT